CGGTGGTGATGACAACCGGTGAGTGGCGGCAGTGGTTGGTGGCCAGCTAGTGGCGGCTATTGGTGGTATCAACGTCAATGGCGAGTGGTGGAGACATTTAAGCAAGCTTGCTTATGATGTAAATGGTTATAGCTCAAAACTGTGCAAGTTTAATTTATTTCAAAAATGAATTAAAATGGTTTACACTCTTTCAAAGTAAACGAATTTGCTCATGAGCCAACTCAAACTCATAGAATAAAACTTAAACTTGAGCTCGATTAATTAATTAAACTCAGGCTAGAGCTCGATTCATTTACACCCCTATTTGATTTCAAATTAATAATTAAGTTCAATGTAAACAATTCTCATTCAAAATTAGGCGAGTTTATTTTACCTCGAAAATAAACTGATTTGCACTAAATTTACTTAACGTGTTTTTTTCAACCAACCAAATACCATTATTTTAAAAACTCTTGTATGTGGAATACTTTACACCTATTTTACTTCCTACCAAACAACCATTAAGTTATTATTCATTATTTTCTTCTAACTTTTCTAAATTTATTATTTTATTGTAATAATTACTTAAATCATATGCACTTTTTCTATTTCAAAATAATAAATGAATAAACTCATGAGCCAACTCGAACTCATATAATAAATTTTAAGCTCGAGCTCGATTAATTAATTAAAAACATAATTTAACTTGGTCTGTTGGTTTGGAACTTTAGCTACTAATCAAGAGGTCTTGGTATGTAATGTATGCATGAGTTTACCTTAATTGGCCTAAATATCCCCCTAAAAATAAAATAAAAAAAAATAAACAAGAAAATAAAGTTAAACTAAACATAGAACGTCGACAGCAGGGTTCGAACCTGCGCGGGCGAAGCCCAACAGATTTCAAGTCTGTCTCCTTAACCACTCGGACATATCGACTTCTTGCAGGTTAATTCTTTCTTGAAAATATATATTTCTGTATCCGCTGATATAAAACAAAACTCGAGCCCGTTAAGCATGATTAGACGTCAAAGAACTTATTTTATGAAATTATGAATAATTTGATTCATACAATGGATTTTAGATTTTGAAATAAAACTTTTAAATTTTATTTCAAAATCTATTATGACTTTGATTCTAGCCCGAGGTACTATAGGTACAACACTGCATCACAGCGAGTCGTGCTGAGCAGTTTTCCTTTCTTATTCTTTTTATTTCACTTGAATGATAGTATCATTTCGCGTAATAGAAGTGTCTTTTTTTATGTGTTTTGAATGCAAAATGGCATGAGAATTGAATTGAGACAATGAGAGAATGTGCAAAGAAATTTGTACAATTTCTTTTATTTTTATAGTGAATTTTTTTGTTGTAGTTTGGCTCAGTGATTTTTTTTTTTATGAATTTTTTGAAGTTAAACCCCTCTTTCATTTTTGTTGTTTTTTTTTAAATTTTTTTTTTCTTATTTGTTTTTTGTTGCGTGGTTAAATTCCCATCATGCATGAACTCCATGGTTGTGTTGAGGATGGTTTTATATCCTCCAAAATGCTTCCTGCAGCTTACACACTCCATATATTTCTTCTTAATGAATACTATATTGCGTTGTTAGATTCACCTTTCATTTTATTTATTTAGCTTAAAAACTGTGCACTGCTTAGAAACGCCACGCATACATTTGGTCTCATCAAATTCTTCCAACACTTCTCTCGAAACTCCAAAAGAGTTACGCAGGAAATATATCACAGCATGACAGCATGAGCTCTTAAGCACCTTTAACGCCCCAGGTTTTATAATAACTCTATTGGGGAAGGTTTTCTTCTCCATCATACATGTCCCTGTGCTATGTTCACCTTAATGTTGCTTGCAGTAGACTCATGACTCTCATTCTTAAAACCTAGCCAACATAAAGGCAATCATGGCTTTGCTGATGTGCTTCTGGTTATGCTTTTACATCACAAGAAGCTTTCTTTATGGTTATCAGTTATCAAATCCATTTAACGTGGTCATATCCAGGAGAAATTATTCTGTGTGGATGTCGAACGCAGTTCACCGTCTGGAGACTAATTAATAAGAATGCGTCACGTCAGTAGTATCGAGCCGCGGTATGGAGCTCATGTGTACCGAGCAGGAGGTGACGTGACGCATTTTAGTATGTCTCTGGACCGCGTTCGGCTTCCGCACAGAATAATTTCGCCATGTCTAGAGGGGAAAGTGTATGCATTAGCATCTTGATCATTGCATGGAATAATCAAAGATATTTCATGGCGGCGGTTCTCTGATAAAGTAAGAGTCTTGACAATAAGTCAATAAAGGGTACCACCATAATCAAATATAGATTTTTCATAGGGTTTAACACGCCTGAATCAAAGATAACTTATATAGGGTTCAACACACATTTATCCAAACTAAGGCTTCATTTGGGACGACTTTTTTACTGCTTCTTAAAGCAGCTTTTTAGTAAAAATTAAAAATTTATATTAAAAAGCTGTTTTAAGAAGCAGTAAGAAAATTTTGCTTGTTATCAACATCTAATTCCTGCCTCTTTTTAACTCCCATATGGAGCTTAGTCTAGTGCTCAAATATAGTTGAGCCCAGCTAATTAAAACCCAAATCCTTATCCTAATTCAGCCCTTCTATTGAGTAGGTCTCTAAGTTATCAAAACCTAAATTCTTCCATAATGTTTTGCCTGTTGAACTGAACTCAAGTGACCAAACCTGAATCCTTATCTCATATCTTCTCTTATATTGAGTCAAGTCTAGAATTCCAAAACCCAATTCTTGTACTTCTAATTTAGCTCATAAAGCTAAGGTTGAGTGACCAAAACCTAAATTGTTATCATAGCTTAACTAACGAGGTTGGGTTTAGGTGATCATAATCAAATTTCTTAGCCTAATACAACTATATTATTAAAGAAAGACTAAGGCTTCGTTTGGGACGGCTTTTTTACTACTTTCTAAAACGGAGTTTTAGTATAATTTTTTTTATTTTTGTAATAAAACTACATTTTAAAAAGCAATAAAAAAGCCGTCCCAAACGAAGCGTAATTTAACAAAAAACCCTTTATCCCGATTTAGTAAGCACCTTGTAACCAAAACCTAAATCTTTATCCTACTTCAACTCTTGTATTGAGTGTACAATAAACACAAAGCGCCCAAGTTTAAAATGAGCTTATATGGAATAAGTAGCAAGATAAAGTGTAATAAATGAATGACTTGCACAAATTCTAATAATTTACCTCTTGTGGAAATGACCTACATCGAGGTGTAAGTGAGGTCGAGTTGAGCTTCCCCAACCTACTCTCAAAACAAAATAAACTTAAATGTTCAATTATAAATATTCAGAGCATTCAACAAACTTAAATGAATGATCAGTTTAGAGGGAGTTGACCTATATGAGTCATTGAAGAGTATAAAATATATACACAACCTTGATGAACCCAAAGCTTGGGTCAAATCAAGCTATATAGCATAAAATTTGAAATATCTCCATAAAATGCATCAATCTTAGAGTAATGTTAAGAGAACTTAAAAAGCTCTCTTTCAAAATTATCACACTTTATTAATGTTTAGTAATATACAAATATATGATCAAACTAGTTCGCAGAATGTCCTGATAGAGCAACAAAAGGAGAGGGGGCCTAAACCATAAGTGCCTAAACCAACCCTCTATATAAGCTATTGAAAGTCCATGACAATAATATACACCATTTAATCTATATAGAATGCTTTGGAATTTGGTAACATATCATTCACTAAGTGGATTGTTTTTATGTTATGTTTGTATTAGGTCAAATGACTCACCATTGATATTTACTATAATTTAAAGTCTCTAAACACTACTTGCTGGTCCTTTCAATATTCCACAATGATACGTATTTTCTACAGCTATATCAAATATATTAGTTGTAAGACCTAACTCTTAATCCTAAAACATGATGATGTAATTTTTATCATGGCATTTAGCTTTATATTTGCATAAGCCCTTTTATAATAAATATTCAAATATAGGCCACCTAGCCGAAATGGTGAGGTGATAAGGCTTATCCATGGGCTTGCCTTTATTTAAGATTTTAAGTCCCATATTTGATAATATATCTAATTGCCTTCATAGGTGTTTCGTGTTTTAAGGGTACCATTCTTTGTCAAAGCCATAATCAAGAGTCTTAATAACATCCATGGGCACAAATAAACCCTCGTAATTCCTATGTATAATTTCATGTTAGATTATAGCAACACAAACCCCTCACATGTCCTTGAGACGGGTCATAGCCTCATAAGTTCAGTATGTCCTCTCAAGATGGGTAATAATTCATAAGTCCTAGGCACATTAGTGGCTTTATTCAAATCTCCACAAGTCCAACTTTTTATTGCATTTTATATTTAGAGTTTTAGTTATCTACTTTTCTAATATTGGAACTTAGCTACATAAGTGAATGAATCCTCACTCATAGTACATGTGCTTATCAACACTATTGAGTAAGGAAACTTAGTTAAGGATTCTTATTCGAGAAAACTCATGAGTATAATAATTCATCTTATACTATATAAATGACTTTAGCCAACCCAACGATATATATTCATCAAAATTATCTAATTTATAACACATGATTAAAACTTAAAAAATATAGTACCCATACATATTTTAAGTCGTTGATAAATGAATAAATCTCCCACTTCATCAAAGTAGTTTCTCTTGAGTGAAGAAATTTGCATAAAAATTTGATGATGATTATACTAAGGCTTCGTTTGGAAACTTTCTTACTGCTTCCTAATACAGTTTTTTAGTACAAAATTTTTAAATTTTGTGCTAAAAATTTACTTTAAGAAACAGTAACAAATCCATCCTAAATGAATTCTGAATGTAAAAAAATTGAAGTAGGAATTGCTGGACATTTTTTTCTCATATAAAATGAGTGATGAGTATAATAAAATTATTTTAATAAAAATACAAATTTTATGTATATTTCTTTGAGAAGTATATATATATATATATATATCTCTGCCCTACGAGAGATATATAAAATTTTTCGAATTTCCATTGCTTACTTACAGTAACACATTCAAGCCCTGTCCCCAACTATCTGCAGCTACCAAGAAATCCCTAAACCCTTTTGCCCTGCCCCCAACCCTCTCTACCCAAATTTCCGAAACCCTCGACGACAACTGAAGAAGTCGCCTCGAGATCTCGCGGGAGAAGGCATCGGCGGGGCCAGCGGCGCGTGAAGGGGAAGAGGAGTTCGTTCGCTTCGGATTTAAGTTAAATCACACGAATGCCCGGATTTTGTTAATCCCGGACTCAAGTAAAACGGAGGAGAAACGGGATTTAAAGTTGGCATTTGTACCGTTTGGCAGGATTTAGATTAAATCTTGCTCAAGTCCTCATACTAGCCTGTCCCAAAGCTTTCTTTGCTATCCGTTTCCTTCTATCTAGCTTTTGAACCCTAACTCTATCTATTCTCTCTTCGCGTTTATGGCGAACGTTAAGATGGCTTCTTCTGGTGCGCCTTCTTTGGAGAGAAAGGAGAAGCCAGTAGTAGTCAGAGTGAAAAGGAAGGCTTCTCAGGCGAGTCTGGATGCTTTTTGTGAGCAATCTTCCCTTTAGTCTTATTTGCTTCCTTTTTCTTAATCAAAGGAAATCTAATATTTTTTCTTCGTTACCATTTAATAGGGTTGGAGATCAATGAAAGGCCGCTTAAGAAGCCTTTATTGGATTTTGAGAAGCTTTCAATATCTGATCACGAGAGCAAAGGTATTCAATTTTCTGCCTGTTTTAGTTTGATGTTAATGTTTATGTTTTTTTTTTATTGCCACGAAAAAATTTGGGTCAGTAAACTGTAGTTCATATGATATAATTTATTCAGTTTGTGGTGCTGGTGATGTGTCCTGAAAGCCTGATTAACTTTAATGAATAGTTTCTAAAAAACATATTTTACGAATTTGGAATACCTCAAACTGAGAGGTTATTCATTTGTGATAGAAAAGCTGAGAGGTTGTAGAACAACATAAACTTGATTTGCGCATTAAGTTACTTTTTTAAAACTAATCTAGGAACATGAGGAGATCCTCTTATGATGTAAGTAAGGATTGAATTCAGATTGAATTTAATATAAAGGGGGTCAGATAGGCACCAACTTTCCATTAAAATGTGAAAAAATTGAGATATCGGGATTGCTTTTGTCATTACTAAATTTCCTTATTTCTGAATCTGCATATTGATTACGACCTCTCTGCAGTTTCAGAGGCATTGAAGAAGAAAAGGTTATTAGTACAGCATGTTGAGACTGTGGGCCCCTCTGAGGCAATTGAAGATGTTTTACAGTCCCTTCTGGTAAGTGCTTCCTTTTTTCATCAATTTTGGCTTTCTTGTATGTAATTAACTGCATTTGTTTGAATGCAAGAATGAAAGGAAAGAAGCTCTAGATCGAGGAAATATACTGTTGAAGACTAGGATTTAGTTTTGATGCTAATTTCTCAAGTTTAGCTTAGCTTGTTTGAAATTAGAATGTCCATCAGCACACAGTGCCATAGTTTCATCTCTATTTAATATGTCAATATATTAAAGTATACGGTCAGTAGGAAGGAATGAACTTAGCTTTCTTTTTTTTCACCCAAGTTGTTTGCGTTCAATAAATAGTAATAACCTTTCTGGATTGTCATTAAGTTCCAACTACAGGTTTATATTTGTATATTCCCTAGTTCAACAACAACAATAACAACAACATCAAGTCTGTCCCACTACGTGGGGTCGGCTACATGAATCCTTTTTCGTCATTGTGTCCTGTTAAAAGTCAAATTCTCATTTAAATCTAATAAAGAAAGATCATTTCTAATATTTTCTAACCAACTCTTTTTAGGTCTACCTCTACCTTTCTTAACATAAGTCAAATCTAATACCTCAACTTTCCTAAACGGGTCATCGGAAGGCCTCCGTTTAATGTGACCAAACCATCTAAGGCGACTCTCTCTAATCTTATCTTCCTTTGGAGCTACTCAAACCTTTTCACTTATATGCTCATTTCGTATCCTATCTCTAAGGGTCAAGCCACTCATCCACCTAAGCATCCTCAGCTCTGCAACACTTAACTTAGTATTATGCTTCTCTTTTAATGGCCAACATTCGGCACCATAAAGCATTGTAGGTCTCACCACAATCTTATTGAATTTTCCCTTAAGTTTGAGGGGGACTTTTCTATTACACAATAAGCCTGATGCATTCCTCCACTTCAACCATCCAACTTGAATTCTATTGATAATATCCCCATCAATTTCACCATCACTCTGAATAACAAATCCAAGATATCTAAAACGTGTACTCTTATTAATGGCCTGATCGCCCAAAGTCACAATCCCATCACTAGGTCTATTGCTACTAAAATTACACTCCATATAGATCTACTCAAGCAAAAAATCATTATCTTTAGAAGGCCTCAACTTTTTTCTACAAGGGAAATTTTCCGGTTGATAACTATGTGTTTTGAGGTGTTCAAATATAGCTGCTATAACAGACTTGATGGTATTGTTGATTTTGTTTGATACTCCTGCACAAGCATATTTTTTTAGTCAGGTGGGGGTTATAAGCATTGAGCTGCATGTCTATTAAAGAGGTTGTTGGGTATAAATTATTTTGCACAAAAGTGCTTGAGATTATCTACTAAGGGCTTCATGAAAATTGTTTAACTGACCTATAATAAATAATTTAGCTAACACCAAGTACTTGGGCTAAGGTTAATGATAATGATGATGATGATGATGATTAAGAATTTCAAATACACATTTCGTTGGGTGTATTTTACCATGAAAAAACATGCTTGTTTATACTTTTTTGATATATATTTTTTTGGCAGTCTAATTGTGGTGGCTCAATGGACTTCATGAGGAAGATTGAGGTGCGCAAGGGTTATTTCAAACAAGACAAGGTAAGAATATCATGGTACAGGATTGGTGCTTTGATATGGTTTGACATTTTTTCAAGACTTTTTAAATTCTTACCGTTTTCATTTTATATTACCATATGAAAGTAAATCAAGAACACAAGCATATATGAATGACAATGAGACATGCATATGGTGAGAAACTGTACTGCCAACCCACTTCCTTTACTAGTTAGGTTGTGAAACATCTTTCATGCTTAAAAATTTGTACTTCTTATGCCAGACTTACATTGCTACACTTAAGTTTTGAAAAACGGGGTATGAAATGTGGGTGGTAATAGAGTGAGTGAGTTAGGTTAGATTGCATCCTGTCGTAGAATAGGAAAGGGGTTGTGCTCCTATGTTTAACATCTATTAAAAATTTGCGTAGGGTGGGGCATGGCCAATCGATACAAGGAATTCACACAACTAGTTTACAAGACCTTTAAGGTTCTTGGACTAGAGTTTTTTGTTGAAAACAAGGAAATCCAAAATCCCTCTTGATATCCTCATATTTTTTTCGCACACCCCATCTCTCTCGTTACCTCTCCTCAGCTACATGGATTTGTGTTGAACTTACGTTAAATAGGATGCAACTTGACCTGGCTTTTGGTCGAGCCTAATACACGGCAACCCTTTCCAAATTAAAACAGGCATTTTCAGTCGGAAATACCTTTCTAAGTATTGACACTTGGAAGTTACATGTACATGCCAAGAATATGTATAATCTGAGGGGTGTGTATGCTAATACTCTATAGCTATTATTTCAAATGTTTTAAGTTAATCTAGCAAAGCATGCTTGATCATTTCTAAGAATCGGCATCCACATCTTGTGCTGTTGGCATGGATGCCATTTATCTTTTTTCATTGAACCTTGACCAGTTTTCCATATTAAGCAAGTTTTTGCATTCTGAACTGACCTATACCAATTATTCTATGGTGCATGCAGAAACGTGATCAACTGCGCTCTCTAGCTAAACAAGAACGTGAGGTATCTCATGTCATTCCATTTTTAATAATATGCTTGCGATATGATCTCATTCATCATAGCTATCTTTGTGGTATATACACATTTATTTCATCCTCTGATCTCTTAAAAATGTTTTTAGATATGATGACTGTAGCCAATGCATGCCTTTAAATCTCATGTTAAAGTAGAAATAGAAAAATAATTAGGATACTCAGGATAATGGGAGTATATGGACCAAATATTAATTACAAAATTCAAATTATATTTTAAGTTATTTCTTTCCTAATGTAAGTTGTAAATCTATTTTGATTCATTTCTCAAATCCCATTCATCTTTGTATAATGATGTGCTTGGAATTATTTTTCTTTTCTATTTTCTGTAACATGTTTTGAATTATAGCACTGTAAATAGAGAAAATATGTTTTGCCGAACTTGTTTCCAGTTTTAAAAATTAAACTGATTTGTTTGCTGAAACACGGGAAACATCCATGTTTACGTTTTCACCTGTTTTTGAAACACTATTTTTGGAAATTAATTCTATCCAATAAGTATTTTAACTACTTCATAATATCAACAAATGTTATAATAGTAGGCTGTTTTACATGAAATGTAATAATATCCGCAGTTTATATTATAATTGTCATGAATCATAACATAAAGTCTCTATATATAATAGATTTATGTTAATCCCAAATAACAAATTTGATTATTATACTCTAATGCTAATCCTATATGAAAATAGCAACGTAAGATATGTTAATTATGATATACTCAAGGTTATTGAGTTTTGACATGTGAATTACATTTTTATGATAATTTTTTTCATGTATAAAGTTGGAAGTTTTTTTTTATTCGTTTAGTATTGTAATTTTTTGTTAAAGCAAAATTACTTTGCATGATAAAATTTATAATAATATTATTTTAATTTGAATAGTAGCTTATCTTTTAATATTATTTTTAATTTTTTTGGAAAAATTTAGGATATTATTATTATTTATTGGTGCTTATGTACATTTGTTTAAATATGATTATTAGGTTTTTAAATTGATTTTTTTTCAGCATTACATTATTGACTATAGTATCATTCACTGGAAGTGCTTATCATATAAATAAAATTTTGGTTTTTATAACTATATAAAAAAATGATTATGTTTTAAATTTCACTTTACACATCAAACTTATTTCCCTACTTTCAACATGTAAACAAAACAATTAAACTGAAGCGTTAAAAAAAAACCCATCTAACATGGCCGAAGTCATTCATAACCGTATTCCACTAATATATATTAGAGTGATTTGGCCTCAAGTTAGATGGATACAGGTTGCTTGAAATGATTTACAAAGAATAAATTTAATAATTCATAAAACATACAATAAGAGTGAATGGAAAATCAGGATTTATAATGCCGGCCTCAAACAGCTAGGATAAGGATAATACTGATGATCATAATATTGAAGTTGTGATTTAATTTTATGAATAGCTGGAACTTATCTCTGCACTTGTAATAAAATGGGAAAAAAATCTATCTGCTTAAAAAGTTAAAAACTTGAAAGTGTTTTCAATTTAAATTTTCCCAGTTATGTTCTTTTAGTAATTTATAATCAAGTGGTTAGGAATGTTTCTACTATCTCTAATGTCAAGGTAGTTTTTTTTGGTTTTTAGTTGGAGTAGAATATAATAAGCCTAGCCAAAATTTGCTCTAAACAAACGCCACTGTATATCAACATTACTATAATAATTAAAATATACATTGAACTAGTAATGTTTTTTACTTGAATTTGGTCTGATGGGAACTAGCGAAAAATATTTTGTAGATCATTAACGATGTGAAACAATGTAACAGTTATAGGAATTGCAGGGAAATTTATAAAATATTGATAAGCTTTGTAATTACATTGTTTCACCATATTAGATTCTAGGAATCCTTAGTTATTATTTTTGTTTTGGCATGATGTTACAAAGTAGATTAGAAGGAAACTTAAAATAATATCAAAATAACATTAAAGCTTAATGTTCAACTAACATAAATCCACCGGTTAACAATTAGAACATTCACCTTGAGTTTCCCTTACCCACACTCTTGAGGGCTTTTAGCTGAATAATACTTTCAACAATATTAATGATGCCACCATAAGACAAAAGATGCTTACGGTATCGCCCAATGAAAATTTATCCGAAGAGTAAGGAGTTGGTGGATGTTGGAGGATTTGCCATTGGCCGGTGGTTTGATGCTCGTCGATTGCGGTCGTCAAGGAGAAGAAGATCCGATCGATGTAATCTTCAACGGTGTGGTTGAACTCAAAGTTGATGTCGAAGAAGGGCGATCTAAGCACATCTACTCGTCCTTGATTATCGTAGACAAATTCATGATCTTGCTCGGGATCGGCCATTCATAGGTAAGGAGGTCGAGGGAGGTTGTGTGTCTTCCTCCGTAGATGATGTATCAAGCAAGGGAGAAGAAATGTAACGGAGGAGGGAGAGGCTTGGGTGGTCGGCCAAGGCTAGAGGGGCTAACTTTAATTTCAGATTTAGGGTTTGGTTAGGGTGGGAAAATAACTTCAAAATTTGAAATTTAATTTCAGATTTTAATGTTTGTGAAGGAGGAAATAATTTGAATTTGAATTTTCTCTAAATTGGAGATAGATTGGGCGGCACACCATAATGGGAGGGGATTTGATTGAGAGCATTAGTGGGAAGGAATTAATTAAGAGAGAGGGAGAGAGGGGGGGGTAGCCAAGGGATGGGAGGGAGAGGTGTCCACATACAAATGATACAATGTATGTGGCCACATGCATTGAATGTTGAATTGGGATTCAAATCTAATTTTAATTTCAGATTTGTAGTAATTAGGGGAGCTTCTTAAAATATGCTGATATTAATTAGGAAAAGGTTTTGAAATTCAAATTCATTTGAATTTGAATTAAGAGACCTTCCAAATTGATAATGTGCTAAATTAGGAAAATATTAAGTGGTAGTTTGAAATTGGATTTAAGGGGATTGGGGGGGTTTGGGTTGGCCGGTGGCTAGGGTTGCTCTAGGGGAGCTGACGACTATGGAGGGGGATGGGGCTTGGGGTTTTGGTGGAGTAGGGTTGGCGGGTGGGTCTAGGGCCGGTGGTTTGAGTAGGGGAGAGGGGTGGCTATGGAGGGGGACGGGGCTTGGGGTTTAAGGAAAGGCATCTTATATACAAGAAATGTAGTGCATTGTGTTAATAATGAAGTAAAGTGTCTTTAAGGCAAGACAAGAAGGAATATGAAATTCAGTATCCATTATTTTAATTTATGATATTTCCTATGAATTTGGATAAAAAGGAAAAACATGATACGCTGCTATGCAAATAACAACTTTGTTGTTAGATAATTTTAGAAATGACCTAGAAAGATTCATTAAAAATCCATCATATTGAAAATTGATTGTTGTTTATAAAAGCTACTAAACCTTCCATGCTACACATATATCACTTAATGTACTATCGTAGAGTTTGAAGCAAACGTACGGTAGTTTTCAGTTATTTAAACAACTTTGAGAAGTGGAAATAAACTATTTAGCATTGTTGTTTACGAAGTGATCTTCCATCGTTGTTTTCAGTAAGAAGGAAAGCTAGTGATCCGTGAACCAACGAACTGGGTGATCCCGAAACAAATGCATCACGTGAGAAATTACTTGAAAAAATGGTCAATAAAATGAGTTAAATGTCGAGAAGATCTTTAGTTTTTAGCATGCTGAGGAAACCATTGTAGTTTAATTCCTTTAAAAACTCTTATGAGACAATATCGACCCCTCTAGGTGCACCTGTCACCAACTGTGTACTGATAATCTTCATGATCCTACTGTGTACTGTCGATGTGCTAACATGCAAGGGTCTTAATGACCCTGATGTTTACAGAGATTGAGAGTTTGAAATGGACGATTTCTTTGCATGGCATGAAATGTATGAAATATAATATATCAAATTTGCCAAAATCAAGTTGTCAAAAGAAGTGAAATGGTACTGCACTAATATTAATTGTGATACTGAATTATAGGGAGTTGCCTTCTTCTCTAATTGGTTGAGATGAAAAGAATTTTAATTGTTGCTCCACTATAGTAGATATCTTGTTGTGGCTTCTTGAATTTTAGAGAAAGTTCTTAGTCAATCAATGATTATCTTAATTTAAGGAGCTTGTATCAAGGTGTGGGATTTTTGAGAATGACTAGTAGTTGGCTATCAAATCTATCAAAGGCCTTGGTATTGACATTAAGTTAGAGGTATTAAGTTAGAGGTACATTTATATAAACTTGATAATGTTGAGAATGCATTTATCTATTTGGGTAAGAAGAACATAATTTTAAAGTATAATTATTTGTTGCTCCATCATAGTTGATATCTTGTTGTAGCTTCTTGAATTATAGAGAAGGTTCTTAGTTAATCACTTATTAACTTAATTTAAGAAGCTTGTATCAAGGCATGAGACTTTTGAGGATGACTAGTAGTTGGCTATCAAGGTTATGAAAGGCCTTGGTCTTGACATCAGGTTAGTAGTGCATTTATATAATCTTGATAATGTTGAGGATGCCTAACCACAGGGCTTTTGAAATAGAAAAAAATTATAAGCTTTCATTACACACTTTTTTCACCACACTTTTTTCAACACTGCCGTTGCCAGGTCCTAAGTCCTGGATGAGAAAAGTAGAGGCTTGCGTTAGGTAGTCGACAACCAGCGTAAAACTTGTCGAATATTAATGACATGAATTCTTTAAGAAATTATGCTAGGGCGTTCCCTACTTCCCTGGAAGTGACACGCTGTATGACCTGAATACAGTGACAACTGTGCAAGGGCCGCTGCATCGGCGCCGGGTGTAGTGTTAAATAGGCAAGGGTTCCCACATCAAGGACGAATGTGGGTAAAGAAGCTAGTCCATGATACTAAAAACATGAAACTAAAATTAGGATAAAAATTTGAAATATAGATTCCCTTACAGGAAAATTAATGAAATTAATAGATATTATGATTCATAGGAAGTTAAATATTTTGTTCATTCAGAAAACTAAATGGGTTGGAGAGAAGACTATGGAAATTGATAGCTTAGGATTTAAACTTTGGTATTCGGTTAAGAGTCGTACTAAAAATGGTGTAGGTGTTATTATAGATAAGAGTTTGAAGGATAATGTTATAAAAATTAATAGGATTGAGGATAAAATTATAACTTTAAAGATTGTTATTGATGCTAAGATTGTTAATATTACAAGTGCTTATGTTCCTCAAGTAGGTTTGGATATGAGTTCTAAATTAAATTTTTGGAATGACTTAGAAGAATTAATACAAAAGATACCTCTTGAAGAAAGAGTTTTTATTGGAGGAGATTTAAATGAACATATTGGTAGAGATGTAGATCATTTTAAAAGCATTCATGATAGCCATGAGTTTGGAATGACAAATGAATGTGACAAAACCATATTAGATTTTTGTTTAGCTTATGATTTTTTAATTGCTAATACTTTATTTAAGAAAAAGAATGAGCATCTCATCACTTATAAAAATGGATATAGTACAACTTAGATTGGCTATTTTCTTATAAAAAAAATTAGATCGTTAGATCGCAAAGATTGTAAAATTATTCTGAGTGAAAATTTATGTACCCAACATTGATTATTAATTTTGAACTTTAAGATAAAGGGACAGAAAATAAAAAAAATAAAGTAAAACGATATTCTAGGATTAGATGGAGACATTTAAAGAATATTAACAAAAATATTTTTTGAGATTAAGATTTTAGACTTAAGATTTTGTTTGTGCATGAGGATGCTAATGTTATGTGAAAAAAATGGCTAGTGATATTAAGAATATTTCAAAAGATGTGTTTGAAGTATTAAAGGAAAAAACTCCTAATAGTAAAAATAGTTGGTGGTGGAATCCAAATGTGCAAGAAAAGATTAAAAATAAAAAGATTTGTTATAAAAATTGGTTTAATTCTAAAAAGTCTGATAATTGAGAAATATATAAAGAGGCTCGTAAGGAATCTAAGAAAGCAATATGCGATGCAAAGACCTTAGTTTTTAGTGATTTATATAATAAATTAGATACTAAGGAGGGAGAAAGATATATGTATAAATTAGCCAAACAAAGATATAGGTCCTAGGAGTAGTAAGGATTTAGTTAAAGTGAAGTGTATTAAGGATGAAGATCAAAAAATACTTTTCTTAGAAGATGATATTCAACAAAGGTGGATGAGATATTTTGCTAAATTTTTAATGAAGATTGTGAAAATAAGATTGACTGTAGTGACCTTAGCACCCTAAATGAAAATAAAGATTTCTGTTTTTATTGGCGTATTGGTAAAATCGAAGTTAGAGAGGCTTTAAAGAAAATGAAGGGTGAAAAAGCTGTTGGACACTTGGACCTGATGATATTCCAATAGAGGTGTGGAAATACTTAGGAGATGAAGGAATTTCTTGGTTTACTAAACTTTTTAATACTATTTTGAAAACTAAAAAGATGCCAGATGAGTGAAGAATGAGTGTGTTAATTCATATTTTTAAGAATATATGTGATGCACAAGATTGTGCGAATTATAGAGGAATTAAGTTAATGTGTCATACTTTAAAACTATGGGAGTGAGTTATGGAGCTTAGATTGCGGTGTGATACTAATGTTTCTCAAAATCAATTTGGATTCATACCGGGTAGGTCGATTATGGAAGCCATACATTTATTAAGAGGTTTGATGGAGAAATATAGAGAAAATAAGGAGAATCTACATTGATTTAGAAAAAGCACATGATAAAGTTCCAAGAAAAGTGCTATGGAGAGTTCTTGATAAGAAAGGAGTTAATAACGCTTATATTCAAATCATTACAGATATGTATGCAGGAGCTATTATTTGTGTTCAAACACAAGGTGGTTTGACCAAGCATTTCCCTATTTCAGTTGGGTTACATCAAGGATTAGCCTTAAGCCCATATCTTTTTGATTTAGTCATGGATGTTCTCACTAGACATTTGCAAGAGGATGTACCTTGGTGTATGTTTTTTGTTGATATTCTTCTTGTTGATAAGACTAGAGAGAGTTGAAGGTAAACTTGAATTATGGAGGTCAACCTTAGAGGCTAAAGGTTTTCGCTTGAGTAGATTTAAAACGAAATATATGGAGTGTAATTTCAATAGTAATAGACCTAGTGAGGGGATTGTGACTTTGGGCGATCAAGTCATTAATAAGAGTACACGTTTTAGATATCTTGGATCTATTGTTCCGAGTGATGGTGAAATAGATGGGGATATTATCAACAGAATTCAAGTTGGATGGTTGAAGTGGAGGAATGCATCGGACTTGCTGTGTGATAGAAAAGTACCCCTCAAACTTAAGAAAAAATTCTATAAGCTGGTGGTGAGGCCTGCAATGCTTTATGGTGCTGAATGTTGGCCATTAAAAAAGAAGCATAATACTAATTTAAGTGTGGCAGAGATGAGGATGCTCGGGTGGATGAGTGGCTTTAGCCTTAGAGATAGGATACGAATTGAACATATATGTGATAAGGTTGTAGCTTCAGTAGAAGATAAGATTAGAGAGAGTTTCCTTAGATGGTTTGGTCACCTAAAATGACGGCCTTCCGATGACCCGGTTAGGAGAGTAGATGTATTATATTTGACTTATGTTAAGAAAGATAGAGGCAGACTAAAAAACTTGGTTAGAAAATATTAGGAATGATCTTTCTTTATTAGATTTAAATGTGAATTTGACTTTTAATAGGACACAATGGAGGAAAAAAATTCTTGTAGCCGACCCCACGTAGTGGGATAAAGGCTTGATGTTGTTGTTGTTGTTGTAGACTAATTCTTGTAGGTCATCGACTTCTTTCCTCATGTTGAAAATAGAATTTAGCCTAAATTGACTAGTACTATTGCACGATCAAATGATCAAGGAGTACTGCAAATGCTAGCCCTTGAAAATTTATATGGTTACATTAATTTAGCTCTCCAGATGAGAGTTATTCTTTGCACTCTATGAGATTTAATGTAGCACAGGTCTTCAAATAGGTCTAAATAGTCTATAAAATCCAAGTCATCATAGGCTGATTACCATAAGTCAAATCATGCGAAAATAGATTTGAATTGAGCTTGCTTTCATTTCTTTTTAGGTATGTTTATGTTTATGGCTGAATTTCTTTAAGGTTGTTTTATTTTAATATTTTATTAAGTGTTATCCTCTCTTGGACTAGTATAGGTTTAAGGTCAGTCGGATTTGATAGAATTAGATTGCATTTAAATTTTTGGCATTATCTTTGTAACCCTATTTTTGTAAATAAAGATCCATAATGAACATTTGAGGATTGTTTTTGATTGAATGAAAGAAATTAGTTATGGCTAGTTGAGTACTTCCTAGATTCCTCGATACAAGTTAGGTATGCAAATTGCTTTCAATTCTGTGTTGAGTTATATTCTTTGCATTAATCATATTTGTAGAGTAGCTTCTCTGTCATTTTAAGATTATTTGCTACTAAGTTCATACAAGACATCACACCATTTCAATCCAGTCCAAAGAGAGGACTGGGTTATACTGATTTAATGAGACTTCATTTTTGTTTATGATGTTGATAATGTAATTTAGCATTATAGTATTTCAATTATTTTAATGAATTTGTAAAGTTTAGCATTATAGATGAAACTTGAAAGATGTGATCTAAATTGGGATGTAATTGAGATTAAACTTCTAAAGTTAAAAATAGCATGCCTACTTTTAAAATGTGGATAAGAAAACCCAATAGCTTAGTGGTTAAGGCTCTTTGATAACTGAGGTACCAGTAGCTGCCTCTTATAACGATCCAGTGGCCAAACATCACTAATGTGCTTGAAAATGGGGGTAAAAATTCTTCCAGCAAAGGTCATCTCATTTGAAACAAAATTTTAATCTAACCCCATCTTCTTTGAACAAAAAATGGAAATGGGCACATTTCTTCAAGTTGCTAGTTTTTGTACACAATGAAAAATCTAGTTGATGTAATCCTCTATATACTGCACTCATTTGTGTTATAGTTTTCTCACTGTTATGATGAGTCTGGAAAATCCCCCAAACAAATTTGGTAGTCTAATAAATGCACTTCTTGCACACCCTCAATTTTGATAGTTAACCTTAAAAAATTTCCTCTCTCTAACAAATTGTTGGACTCGTTTCTTTTATAATTCCTATCCATCATTCCCTGATCCTGATGATGACTTACTGAATTCATTTCAAGTAATTTTTAGGGGATGCTTAGTTATTTTGTGAAGAAAGAGAATTGTGATTATGTTTACTATTGAAGTTTCTCATAAAAAAGCTGAAATATGAAGAACTTGATCCAACTTCAAACCCATATTTAAGTCAGATTGCAGGCTTCAGCTCACTTGCATGAAACTGGATTTGCTAGAAATTGCTGGACAACTATAAGATAATGAATTCATTCTTGGGCCTTGTCATTACTACCCATCACATTATTGCTCTCTATGTTTACCGCACATTCATCTCACCATGGGTCCATGAGAGCCCTTTTTGAAGTAAAAATTTGAGATAATAATATATATTTTTTCAAATAATATCAATATCAATATCATAAATGTCTTTTCCAGGAATAGCAGACATAAAAAATGTAATAAATCTATATCCTTTTTGGTTATTTATAGTTTTCTCTTAATTTTAGGAACTTGTAAGGAATGCCCGTTTTGAGCAAATTTGGAAAAGCAGAAGGGGAGAAATCGATTCCTTGCGGGAGTTGTGCCATCTTTATGATGTTGTCCGTGTTGATGCTGAAGATGAAAATACGAAGAAGAAGGAGCTAAAGTGCGTGCCTTTCTTCTTGTAGCTACTCACTTGTTTCATCTTTTGTATTGATTACCTCGCTAGTACAATGCAGGCATATTTCTGTAGAAGATAATGCAATCTTGTGCAACTACCTTCCTTTGCTAAGGGAGTACATTCCTTCAGCTGCTGAGGAGATTGAATCTGAAATAAAAGCCTATGTATCCGGAGAAGGTCATCTTAGTTTTTTCATTTGATTTTGTAGTGACCTAGGCTTCGTTTGAGACAGTTTTTTTACTGTTTCTTAAAGCGGTTTTTCCGTATAAAAATTTTAATTTTTTACTAAAAATTCACTTTAAGAAGTAATAAAAAAGCTGTTTGAAGCCCTAGTCTTACAAATAGCTAGGAAGAAAAAATCATAATAAACCATCCCATGAATTATGAATCTTTCTGCTTTGCAGGTAGTGGTTCTGATTCAATTGCCGAGGTTCCTACAGAAGGTTATAATTTTCTTTTCATTCTTTTTGTCTGGTTTTAAGCTATTATGATCATTCTCATTATGTATACTTTGTACAAAATAGATGGCTATGTGTATGACTTGTACACTGTTGAGGACGATTTTACTGGAAGTGACAAAGATATGTCAAGCGACTTTCCTTCGTATGTATTTAAAATCGTATTTTCAGATTTCTCCACACCAACCTCGAGAGTTTAACAAATTAACTGATGGCTTTCCTCTCCTGATCTATAGGGTGCAAGTCAAAAATGAAGATGAATTTGATGAGATGCCTGACTCTGAATATGATTCAGAGGATTCAAATGGTTTGATCATGCACGGCTTTCACTTATCTTCATAGTTATGATCCTTTTCCCACCTCAATGATCTTCTGCTTGTACTGCAGCTGAGGATCATCCAAGAAATGATTACCCTGATGAGGAGTCATCCGACAAGGAAGACGAAGAGGTGGATCCTTTTGGTGATTTTGAATGCCCGAACTCAGATTATGAAGAAGAAGAAGAAGTGATCATAGAAAACAAGAAAGATGAGGAGGAATCTAGTGAAGGAGAGAAATATGTGCAAATGTTCAGTGATTCAGATTGCTCAGACTAGGAAGATGAAGTCTTGAGAGGCTGCTAGAGAAGATGGAGATAACTGGAGATGGGGATATCGTTGATGCTGTAGTGGAATTTTTTTGGGTTATGGTGACTTACCCAATCTGAACTCTCTAGGGTTGAATTTTGAACATGGTTTTAGCTGCATCTTCATGGATTTCTCTGAATTATTAAACTTCTCAGATGAAAGAGCTGTATTGAGTATTCTTGTACGAAATTATTGGAATAGTTAGTCTATCTTGTATAATTAAGGTTTCGTTTGAGATAGCTTTCTTGCTGCTTTCTAAAATAACTTTTTAGTACAAAAATTTTGTACCAAAAAGCCATTTTCAAAAGCGATAAGCACCACAGTAATCCTCCCAAGAAAAAAACGAAGAACCCACCACTCCATACTGAGAGCATTCACTCTTTCTGCCATTGCCATCTTCGCAATATTACAGCACAGCAGCACATGAACTAATACGCCTTAATTCTAACATCTCCACTTCAGGATACTAATTTGTTCAATAAATTGTAGCTCTTTTGTATAAATTTGCTTTGTTCCTGGCAATGCGTTGCAGGTATTTGATTGAGTACAGATTCCAGGAGGGGCCACGATGAAGGGAGGCCTGCAATGTTTATCTGGTGATAGGTACGTCAAGGTGGTTTGCATGGTAGAATATTTACTGGTTTCCTGTTCCTCACATTGGCAAGAATCTTACTGGTGCAGGTTGCATTGCTTGAACCTACCCAACCAGTCCTTTCGAGCCTGATCTGGCAAATTCGTCTTCTTGTCACCTAAAAGGTTTGGCTTCCTATTTGAATTCTACTTTTTTTACCAGTTGAATTAGAAGAATAGTTTAGAAGTGCTGATTGGAGAAATTTTCAGTTTGTGTAACTGGGATTTATTTTTTTCAAAATTGATGCAAGTTGGCTTTATTTTTTAGTTGACAATGACAGTTTTGAGAGAAAACAAAACAAATCTCTCCTACGTGATTGTCAATTCCTCGTTATGCGGAGAAATTATTGTGCAAATATTGGACCGTCCGGAGACGAATGAGAACGCGTAATGTCACTCGGTACACAATAATGATACACAACAAAAAAGTTACATAACGTGCTCTCATTCATCTACGGATATGCCGTCCAGTATCCACACATAATAATTAATCCATCATGTGGGCCTCATTCTCATCATATGGGCATCATTCCTCATAATGGGCCCCATCATGTTGTTATTAGGTTCAGGATGACCACCCCTAACAATTATGAAAATACCTTTGGTTGCAAGAGGGATAGACAACCATAAGACCCAAAGTACAACAGTGAATCAAAATATATAACATAACAACATAATTAAAAATGAACACACACAGGAAACAGGAAACATACCTTATTTAAATAAAGTAAAAGTTTCCAGTAACAATTATACCTTAATTATTATCGCAAACACACATATCTTAACACGTTCAGGCTTCATTTGGATGGCTTTCTTATCGCTTCTTAAAGCAGCTTTTCATTACCAAAATTAAATTTTTGTACTAAAAAACTGTTTTAAAAAGCAATAAAAAAATCGTCCCAAACAAAACCTTAATCATGCCGGTCTTCGTTAATCTCATCCAGAATCACAATAAGAGCAACAACAAAGGCATAGTCCACATTTGGGTAGATTGTGATTCCAAAGGCATCTTTTCCCAAAACTATGTTCTTCACAGTGTATTCGCGATGCATCTACAAGAAAAAAAATATATATATTCATACAAAAATTTATTCTGAACTATCAGTATCAGTTGCTAATACATATCACCCCTCTCTTTAATGATCATAATTAAAGCCATGAACTATGATTACCAGTTGAAAAATATAAATTTTCACTTACTCGAGCAATAACATTTGTGGAGTCCCCAAGATAAATCAAGCAGGACCTCTCGTGGAAACTTCCTTTGACCTTGAAATCACATTGGCTTTCAGCTGTATTTGAAGCCACGAACACATCCAGTCCTGTCTTGAATTGCAGAAGGCTTGATTTTTTTACGCTAAATAAGAGGTCTGCGGAGTTGGAGCTGTCTCCTTTATAAACTTGCCATCTCCTGTGCATGGATATCATCTGTAAAACGACACCATATATATATCAATTCATTCAAGTTGCTTAAATTGAGGTTATATTTGGGACGGCTTTTTTACTGCTTCTTAAAACGGCTTTTTAATATAAAAAATTTTTTTTTTTACTAGAAAGTAGTTTTATGAAGCAGGAAGAAAGCCGTCCCAAATGAAGTCTGAATCTTAATAGATATATAAACAGACACTAATATGTATTCTTTACTAAGAGACAAATGTATATTCAATCATTTAATTATCATATAATAAACAGCTAGGAATATAAATTTATTAGTTATTAAGAATGCTTAATTATCTATTACAACAACAACAAGCCTTTATCCCACTACATGGGGTCGGCTACATGAATCCTTGTTCTCCATTGTGTCATATTAAAAGTCAAATTCTCGTTTAAATCTAATAAAGAAAGGTCATTCCTAATATTTTCTAACCAAGTCTTTTTAGGTCTACCCCTACCTTTCTTAACATAAATCAAATCTAATACCTGTACTCTCCTAATCGGGTCATCGGAAGGCCGCCGTTTTATGTGACCAAATTATCTAAGGAGACTCTCTCTAATTTTATCTTCTACTGGAGCAACTCCACATATTAATTATGTGTTAACCATTAATAAAATAAATTAATTTAATTTTAATAATTAATATTAATTAAATAACAATGTATAATCATAATTAATATTATTTTAATTTTAATTTAATTTAACTAAATATAAGTTATTATTTAATTAACTTAATAAATCACTAACAGATTATTAATATTCCTCCCCCACCCCCCAAAAAAAGATTATTAATTGAGATATTTATTATTATAATAATTATTTAATTGGTCTAATTAAGAAATGATGTAACTATCATCCTAAACCACACAAGATTTAATAAATCCGGATTTAAATTTTTTAAATCCTATTTGCAGCCCTTTAAAGTCAATCATGATCAAGACCATATCCTTACAACAGATACCGCAGAAGAAAAAGAAGATAAAATCACGAAAATTCTAAAAAAACAGAACAAGAAGAACAATCAAAATAAAAAAGGGCATATAAATGGATCCTTGCAATCCGATCGCAGAAAGTGGATGATTGAGAGGGTTGATTTACCTTTTGCTGCATAGAGAGTAGGGGATTTCCAGCGGCATCGAGGAGGATGCGACGGTCGCGGAGACTAAGGAACTTTCCCTTCACTTTGAACAGGATGTTGCCGTTAACGTCCGTCACGACGTAATCGCCGTCCGTTAAGCTGATCGCCTTCTCCGTCACCGTCAGATCCACCGTGTACGGTGCGCAGAACTGCTCTCCGACGACCGCTATCTTGCTCGCCGGACCCGAAGGTGGCGCCGGTGCCGGCGGCGGGTAGAATGGAGTCGCCATCAAACTTCGATCTGAGAACCTGTAAATGTGAGTAATTGGCTAAGATGCGAGGATCTCTTGGCTAGGGTTTATATAGCTTGACAGTCCGCGTGAGATTTTTTTATTGGTTTTATGGGTGGTTCGTGTCAGCTCGTGTGAGGTGAATCATATTGACCTGTTAGCCTGGCTCAGCACGATTCAATTTGACCCGACCACAATTAACCCGATCTGAAAAATATAGAGCTTGGCTCATTTTCTTTTATTTAATTGAGTGATAGTTTTATGACATTAAAATTTCAGTTTATTTAATTTTTAATTAATGTTTAATTAGTTTAATGTAATGTAAATTATTTAATAAACAAACTAATTTCTAAGATTGATGGTGAATAAGTTTTTTTTTTTTTAAACTGAGTGAAGATTTCTTCATTACAATTTAATGTGAATGAATTTAATTTTTTATAAATTTATTTTGAAATAAGTGTGATACATCACACAAAAATTATCTTGATCGAACACAAATCTTGAGGCAAAAGCTAGTTGGAAACTTCAGAAATTAAATCCGGGAGCACCTGAACTCCGATTTCAGCGAGCTTATAGTCAAACTGAGCGTCTCGGAAATACGAGCCCAACGACACCAAGATCAACCCAATCCGAGCCCAAATAAGTCCGAATCAAGGGCTCAAAGCGCTGTTGGAAGGTTCAAACCGCAATTTGAGTTACCAAACGGTCTCCGATTTGACAAGCTTATATTCGAATCGAACGGCTCGACGAGACGAATCCAACGAGCCCAAGATCGCCGAATTCCGACATCATTAAGGCCTTCAAATGCCTAACGAACGGTGCATGATCAAAGGATTCGATATCGGCCGTCCATTCAAAACACTCCCAATTCGCCCCTGATCTCACGCCTATTTACGGGCTATGCCACTCCAGAAAAACTATAAATAGAGCCCTCATTCTACACAAAGGGGACTCAAGTGAAGAGAGAGAAGAAGAAGAGGAGAAAGGGGAAAAGGAGATTCCTCACCTCCTCGACCACCGCCGGAGCTCTTCCTGCCGCCTGAAGACGCCGGAACTCTGCCGGATTTTCAGGAAACACAAGAATTCTGCACAACTTCCACGTGATGCTGAAATCCTTCCCAATTAA